AATAGAGAGGTGCTGGAGTTCAGTGAGAGACTTCAGACCTGATGGCAATACTCTTGAATTAGGACAATCGGATATGGTCAGAGATCTGAGTGAAGCAAGATTTTCCAACCAATCTGGCAAAGCATCTAGATTGGGGCAGCTACTAATTTCCAAGCAGTGCAGCGTCCGGCTATTTTGTAACCCACTTGGTAGAGAATCAAACATAGGACAGTTCGAGATAGTGAAGCTTCGAAGTGAGGAGAGGTGTTGCACACCCTCCGGAAAAGAACCAAGGTTTGGACAATACATAAACGTCAAGTGCTCGAGGAATGTAAGATGCTCTAAACTGGATGACAAAGAAGTCAGATGGCTACAATTCTCAATGGACAAAGTTCGAAGGGAACTTAATCCTGCAATTCCACCATCTGGCATGGTTAGTAGACTGTGACAGTCACTAATCTCCAGTGACTCCAGAGTTTTGAGGTTCTTTAAACTCTGTGGCAGAGAGGATAACTCATCACACCAACGAATCGTCAATGATTTCAGAGCAGTGAGGTTTCCAATCTCCAAAGGCAGTGAACCAAGCTTGGGGAGAGACAATATCTGTAAAGAAGACAGATAAGGTGATGAAAAGAGCCCTTCCGGCAGAGAGACCAGGCCTTGAATTTTTTCTAGAACAAGCACTGAAAGAAAACTTAAATTTGCTATGGACATCATCGTTGGATTACAGTCCCGCAGCTCCAAATGTTGAAGGGACTGACATAACGGTATATGTGCTAACCTTGGACAACCTTTCAAAGTTAATTTCTTCAATCTGGGGAATGCATTTGCATCATTTGCAGTTGACCACTCTTCCAAGTTTGAAAAATCACTAATTGATAGTTCTTCGAGGGATGGAAACCATATGTCCGTACCGACGGTACTGTCACCATAGAACTCTGTACCGATGCTCCTCACGCCATGCATTCCATGCAGAGAAAGTGTCTTAAGTAGCAGAAGATTCCCAAGGGCTGGAAGATGTTCACAACTTTTACAGTTGGTGAAATCAACGGAAGTGAGATTTGGGAGATCCCAACAAGGAAATTTGATTCCTGGGTACCCATTTATAACTAGCCTTTTCAGATTTTTGTGTGGCTGCAGCCCTTCAAGAATTTTTTCCACAGGATCAGGCTGTTGTAGGGGTCGCAAGGCAATATAATCAACATTGTTAATTTTATAAGGTCGGGCTTTAGGCTTCCCAAACGATTTGTAGACATCTCCAAATCCGCAATCTAATCCCCAATATAATCCTAACGACTCAAGATTTTCCTTCGATTTCAACCCAGCTGATTGTGCTTCGGCTGCATTTCTTGCGTTCTGCAAACAGGTAATATTCAACTTGCCATAAAGATTCAAACCTTCCAGCGTATTAAGGGCCCGAGGAACCCTGTTGACGACAAACAATGGCAATGTCTGAAGTTGTCGCAAACTACGAATCTCAAGAGGCATAGAAGACAAACTTACACATCCAACTAGATTGAGATGTCTTAGGCTGGTCATCATTTCCAAGCTTGGCAGCCGTTTAAGATTCTGACAACCAAATAGATTCAAAGTCTGCAAATAGCAGAGATTCCTTGTGCTGTAAGGTAACACGGTGATAGGTGTGTAAGAGAGGTCGAGATACCTCAAACATATCAAGCCACCCAATGATTCCGGCAGATCAGAAACACCACAACTGCTCAGGTCTAGCACACGCAAGTATCCAAAACTTGAAAACATACTTCGGTTTTTTAACAAGCCAGATTCTCCAATAAATACGAGAGTTCGTAGATGTTTTGCTTCAAATAGATCTTCTGGAATTCCAATCGCCCTATATTTGTAAACAACAGATGCGTGACGAATTTGAGCCGCACCATGTTCAAACATCCGGGGTTGATCTCCTGCTACATATCGTGCAAGATCATGTATAACATGATTCATTTTGTATCCAACTGAGCTGCCGCCATTGCAAATCTCTACTTCTTGGAAGAAAGACAACCACAACAAATCGGCGAAGTATTCATCACCAATGTCTTCTGGTCGCCTGTTTCCATCTTGCAGAAGTAAGCCTGATGCCATCCACAAATGAATTAACTTCTGCTTCTTGAATTCATAATTTTTTGGAAATATTGCGCAGAATGCAAAGCATTCTCTAAGATGGGGTGGTAGATGATGATAACTCAACATGAGGGCAGGCATAACTTTATGCTGGTCTTCATCTAATTTCCAAAGTTCGCAATCTCGCATAGACAGCCACTGGTTTTCTTCTCTTTTCAAGCGCATTGAACTTCCCAAACTTTTTGCTGCTAATGGCACTCCTCCACATTTTTGGACAATCTGTTTCCCAATCAGTGACAGGTTTGGATACTTTGCTTCTTCTCCTCGTGCAAAAGCCCGTTGCTTGAACAATGTCCAGCAATCATCATTCGTCAGGCCATTCAAACAAATTGGGGAATTTGGGAAGTCCATCATATATGGAACCTTTTTACTGCGGGTAGTGATGATGATTTTGCATCCATCAACACCCCCTCTAAACAAAGGTTTTAGTTTGTCCCAATCATCCTGGTCTTCCGTCCAAACATCATCTAACACAATCAAATATCTTTTCTTCTGCAGAAATTGTGAAACCCGAGACTGAAGTAGTTCAATCTCCGACAACTTGCATTCATCACTTGTTAAGGATGAAATAACTGTCTTCATGATCTTTTTGATATTGAAATTAGAAGAGACAAAAATCCACATCCTAACATCAAAGTGTTGAATAACTCTCTCATCATTATATAACATTTGGGCAAGAGTGGTCTTACCAATTCCTCCAATGCCGATGATTGGAACGCATGTCGCATATGAATAACCCTCCTGATAATTAGTTTGAGAAGACAGTAATAGGTTGACTAACTTCTCTTTGTCATCCTCTCGTCCATGAATCCTTGAGTCGACGAAAGAGCTCGTCTCCCTTTGATCTGATCGTTGATCTGATATTGGCTGGGTATCTCTAATTTTCAACTTCGAAGATCCCTCACCCACAATCATTTCTAACTTCTTGAGTATCTTTCTGACTTTTTCAGTAAGAACTGCATAGCTGTCTAATGTCTGCGCACCAAAGGCTTCATCAATCATGGCGGTTTGTTTAGCAGTAAAGACG